TGTCCTCTTTCTACTTTTTCTCTATTCCTAAGAGCGCTCTCCTTTCTCACGTGTGTATCAGTTCCTAACGGTAGACACTTGAGCACCACTATTCTGGAGAGCTCTTCAGACAATCCCACATCTAGATGCCAAGCTGAGGTTGGCACTCTCACTAATTTGCTGTTATAAATATTAAGCTATCATAAACATTAGCCTACATATGACTCTTTCATATTTTAGTTAATTATTTTAGGGTAGAAATTCAGAAGTGGAATTACCAGAAGTGGATATAGACATTCTGGTGTGATGGCTCATGCCTGTAATCCCAGCACTTTGGGAGGCAGAGGCAGGCAGATCACTTGAGGCCAGGAGTTCGAGATCAGCCTGGGCCAACACAGCGAAATCCCGTCTCTACTAAAAACACCAAAACTATCCAGGCACAGTGGCACATGCCTGTACTCCCAGTTACATGGGAGGCTAAGGTATAGGAATCTCTTGAACCCAGGAGGCGGAGGTTGCAGTGAGCTGAGATTGTGCCACTGTACTACACAGCCTGGGTGACACAGCTAGACTCTGTTTCAAAAAAAAAAATAGACATTCTCTTGGCTCAGTGTATACCGCCAAATTGTTTTCCAAAAGAATTGTGTGAATGTATAACGCCATCATTAATATAGTATTGATATTATGGTTATTACATTTTAACATTCATAATTTATAACATTCATAATTTATTAATATTTATAATATTAAATTTAATTATAGTATATATAAAGTTATAGTAATTATAATTTTGGTAGTGACACAGTATTAATTTATTAGGTGAAGTATATACATTTCTTTATTAGTGATAATAAATATATCCTCTCTCCCATTTTAAAAGTTTGTATTTCTTCTTCTATAAATTGATTTTTCTGTCATTTGCACATTTATCTGTATAACTATAGCAGGATATTTCCCAATGGTGGCTAATGAGAGAATTATGGGAAAGTATAGAACACTATTCAAGTGCAAAGCACTGTATGATTTTTATTTAATAGGAAGACATTTTGTGCAGCGATTTCTGATTGACCACAATTCGATCAAGTGCATTTGTTAATGTGTTCTAAATTTTAAAAAAGGAGAGGAGAATGTGGTACATTCAGAGCTTGCTGCCATTCCTTTGCTACGTCATAAAGGGTCAGTTGCCCTTGCTCACACTGACCTATTCTTTACCTCTCTGCTTCTTCTTTGTCCCAGAAGAGCAGAAATCTGACCCTTTGGGGATACCACCCTTTCCCCTACTGCTCTCTCCAACCTGAGGCAAACTTTCTCCTACTTCCCAGAGCCTCCCAGAAGTGGTGAGGCCAGCCTGCTGGTTGGAATCCAGAACCGTTTTCAGAATCTTGAACTTCTGTGACCTCTCAGGGTCTCCTTGTGTGAAGTTTTTGACGTCAGCTTCTCTTGTAACCCTTAGAAGTCACTATTGTGCCTCGCACATCCCAGGTGCTCAGTCACCATTGAATTACAGTCATACTATCTCCTGGCAAAGGCTCTTAACTGTCCATCTTAGTCTGATGTTAATATCCCGGAAGCTTATACTGTCGTTCTTCCTTCCAGGCTCAAATAAAGCAACCCCTTTATCCTGTCAGGAGTCCTCTGTCCCTACCTGTCCTTACCTGTTTTTGGATAACAACTTTTCTTATTTTCTAATAGATTTATTTCTCACATTTCCTTCCCTTCTCATAGTTTTCCTCTCACTTTCTCCTCCAGTTTGTCATACTTTGGCTTTAAAACATGCAAACATGTGCCTTATGGGGGAAAAAAGACAATTTTAATTTACCTTGCTTCTTCTTTACAAATGTATTATGGCTTCTTCTTATAGTCCAAATCCAAAACTCTATACCCATCCACTGCCTTGAACTCCTCATTGTGAAAGTAGGATGGGGCAAAGAGAGAATGCATGCCCCTCCCAACTGCTCAAACAAGTAAAGGTGCTGTTACAGTTATCTTTTGCTACCTTACTACAATAATTATTTTATTATATCTCACAATTTTATAGATCAGGAATTTAGACAGAGCTCAGCTAGGTGATTCTTCTGTTTTACTGACATCATTGGAGATCACTTGATGGTATTCAACTGGCAAGTAGGCTTATCTGGAGGGTCCAAGATAGCTGTACTCTAGTGCCTGGTGCCTTGGTAAAGAGGGATGACGATGTGGGGCCTCTCCAGCATGACAGCTCAGAGAAGTTTGCTTTCTTACATGCCGACCCAGGGCTCCAAGAGCAAAAGTTGCAGTGAGTAAAGCAGAAGATACAAGGACTTTTATAATCTGGTCTCAGAAGCCACATGGCATCAGTTCTGTATTATTCTATTGGTCAAAGCATTCATAAGCCTGCCAGATGCAAGGGGAAGGCACATGGACCCTCATCTTTTGATGGGAGAATGCGATGGATTTGCAATTATGTTTTAAAACTACTACAGATAGAACCACTGAGAAAGATTCATGGGTAGCTTTGGGGTGAGGATTGGGAATGAATCCGTTGATGCAGAGTTTCACTAGAGTCAGCAAGGAATAAGGCCTCCTCATGGACATTTCAGTCATACTCTACCAACATTCTTAGCCACTGCTTAGCCATCAGCCTCACAACCTAACAACTCCATCATAGTTGTACTCCCTAAGATCACCGACAATCTTAGAGTCAAATCCAGTAGGTTTTTCTTTGTTTTTGTCCTCTTGACATTTTTTCTAAACTTGACACTGGTCAAGACCCAATCTTTATTTAAACATATTCTTAAATACTAGTTCTATCACTGGATATGTTACAGTTTCTTGTTCTCACTCTACCTTTGACAAGGCCATTCTTTCCAGACTATAACTCTGGGTCTGGGTCCCCCTATCATTTGGCCCTTGAACTCTTTTCCTAGTCCTATTGGACTAGTCTCATTTTCCCATGTAAAGCATGCCCCTTTCATTGCATCCATATCATGACCACCAAATACCTCCCAGCTCTATTTCTTGCTCTTTTAGCATGTTAGATGCAACTTCCTAGGCTCTCTATCTAGGTATCAACAGTATTCTCTCTAAGTAATTCTAAGACTTTAAAAACTGGTTTAATCTTCTTACCCCTAAAATCTACCCCCTTACCAACTGCCTCATGACAATCTGTTGGTACCATCACTAAGCTTGCAACCCATGTTCTTAAACAGAGTCATCTTTGACTCCACATCTAATCATTCATAAAGCTGTATTGTCGATCATATTAAATGTGACATTTATGTGAGAGCACTTCATAGTCCAGAAAGCACTACACAGGTGATAACATGAATCTACACTCATAAGGGATTTGCAGGCTTTGCTTCTCATTTGGCTTCTACAGCCTCATCCCTCACCAACTTCTTGCCCTACCTTTCTCTTTCTTCCGTGTCACCCAATTTCCCAGTCAGTCAGGCCAACAGAATGCACTCTATATATGCAACGTGCTTTCCTCAACATCTTTGCCTGCACGCATGCCACTTATTTGCCTCAGTTGATCTTTATTTCAACAAGTGTTTGCAGAGGGGAAACCTTGCTCGCTCCTTCTCCTTTCTAATTTTTTCAGAGGCTACCATGTCAGGTCAACATTGCCTTTTTCAGGGAAGCTCGGTTAGCCTGACCTCCCTTGGAAGTGCCTTAGGACTGGCTTCTTGCACAGTACACAACCTTTTCTTAGAGACGGATTGGAGATTATTCTTTATTCATGTCTTATTTCCGCTGCTCCTGGAGGAGATGACTCTGACTTCCACTGACTCTTTTGGGGGGCTTAAATCAGGGTTGAGTACCTGAGCCCTAGATAGCTGGATGTGGATTCTGGTAATATCAAATAGATCTTTGGCTCATCTGAGAGATTCTGGAAGCTGGGACCTGACCTTGCCGATTTCCCTCTTTCTCCTGTTTCCTATTATTTCCCACTGTTTTTTAAAAGTTTTTTTTTTTAATTTTCACAAGAATAAACATTGAAAATAAAATTTGCACAACGATTGAACTAGGAAAGGCCACACAACCAACACACATTACATCATTATAGGTAAGTTAGCAGGAAGATTTCAGAC